TACAAAGTTCAGTAAAGAAAATGAATATATTTTCAAGATAAAATGTACAGCACAGTGACTATAGTTAAAATATAGTACTATAATTCGCAAAGAGGGTAAATCTAAGGTAACTATGTGAAGTGATAGATATGTTAACTAGTTTGATTGTGGTGATTATTTCACAATGTATATGTATTTCAAAGTGTCAAGTTGTACACCTTAAATATATACAATTTTAACACATTAATTATACCTCAATAAATCTAGAAAAATAATTTTAAAAGAATAAAAAAATGTACTAAAAAGTGAAATGTTTGTTGAGTAAATAAAGACAACTTTTGCTATGACTTGTTATTCAAAAATTTTTAGAGACTATGGGAATGATTATGAAGCATGGAAATAAGACATTTAAACTTTCAGTTAATTTTCATATAAAATCTTTCTAAAGCTGCTGCTGCATTTCTTAGTGAAAAATTGGCATATAACTTTTGGTTCCCTGAAAAGTTAACTACCCTCAGTATCTTCTGGTTGCAGGACCCCTGTGGATACCACTATCTGGAGATGCTGATGTCCCCCGTATAAAATGGCATAAATCAATGCATATAGTTGGCTGTCTGCATCCATAGACTCCAGTACATGTATTTATTGCGAATCAAATCTGTGTATAAGTGAACCCTCACTGTTCAAACTCATGGTGTTCAGGGTCAAGTGCATAATATGTAGGTCCATTCAGCCTCAGTGCCCTTGACATTTTGTCCTGGATATTTTCTATTTTGAGGTACTGTCCTGAGCATTGTAGGCTGTTTAAAAAAAGAAGAACAGTACATAATGCTAAAATGAGAAAACATGGTGTTTACCCTGGTGTAAGGTAAATGTACATATCAATGTATTTAACAGCATTGACACTGAAAAAATAGACAGATTAATGATTAATTTTTGACAAAGCTACCAAGGCTATTCTTTTCAATCAATGCTGAGGAGTAATTGACTGTTCATATGTAAAAAGATGAACTAAAATGTATCTTCACCTCATGTATGAACATTAACTCAAAATGGATCATAGACATAAATTTAAGATCCAAAGGCACAAGTTATATATGTGATGAAAGATTTATATCCATAATGTATAAAGAACACTTACAAAGAGAGCAGAGGATGTCAAACTGGCAAAATATTTGCATAGACATTTCACCAAAGAAGAGTGAATTTAAGGTGCCACCATTGCAAAAAACCAGAAAATTTGAAGATATAATTCAAACCAACATCATCCAAAATGATTTCTATTTGACCCACCAGACATTAATGCTCATGGGGGTGACACACGAAATATGGACTGGAGGGATGTTTGTTTCTTTGTTTTAATTATGAAAGATGATGTGGGAATGGAGGACCAGAATGTTTCCTCAGCTTAGGGTGCTGTCTCTGACATGTCAAGTTTAGGAAGCTATTACATGGTAATTTTGAATATAAAAATTTTTTTACTTGAAAGTACATTTTGACCACATAGATCTCGTCAAGTTTATGTGTACACCCAGGGATACACATAGACTAGTAAATCACCGTGGCCTACATTGACACTGGACAGTCAGAAGAAGAGCACACCTAGAACAGGTCACTGGAGGGGTCCCAGCTGATGGCCCCAGCATTGCCCATGCATTAGGGAAATTGAGCCTCAGCACTGGCTCGGAGTCTGTTCTTTGCCCCATGAAGTCATAAGGGTGGGAAGAAGTACACAGCAGCATGAGGCCTTTTCCTGCCACTTATTTTCATTTTTTGCAAGTTACAACTCAGTGCTTGGGCCTCCATCATCTCCTTTATAAGATAGACCTTGAAACAGGACTGTTCTCTTATTGTTTATGATGATGATGAAGTGAGTGAATACTGTATAATATTTAGAATAGATTCTTGCAGGTAACAAGTGCCCGAGAAGTGTGAACTATTAGTTTTCTGACCAGTAGGTTATCTCCTTCCTAGTATTTGAAGGAATTCTGGTGTGGCTTTAGTCACTGTACCTTGCTGGAATCTAGGGGATTTTGTAATATTATAAGAAAGGGGAAATTCATGAGAAACACTCATGTGATTTCATTATGGCAATGTGACCTGTGACCCACACATATGACTCTAATATGGAATGTCATATAGCACCACGAAATCTGGACAGAGACATGTTTGATTTTAAAAAATTGCTTCAGAAATTTTGGCATTTAAAAAAGTTCGTGATGCTATTCCATAGAGATTAATTATGTGTCTTCTACCACATGAGGTATTAGCTGAATTTTAATTTATTTTTACAGCATAAAAGATTAATGATAAATTTAGAACTAAAGGGACCCTTTCCCCAGGGGTTAAAAATGACAGTATAAGTCCTTAACTGTGTATTATACTTGTCCTAAGATCTTCAGCACCACGGAGGAAATGCCTGTCATTCAGGTTTGTTAGTTAGAACTAGGCTCTGGTTGCTTGGAAATGGATATATTTCCCCAGCAAACAATTATTTCAAGATATGTTTAATTCATCTGCCTTCTAGTTAGAGAGTGATGTAGCAGACCATATTCCTGTGCACTGACTGTTTCAAATGTTTTTGTGTTTTAGTATTGAGAGACCATTGATGGTGAAATTAGAACAGTTTCCTCTGGAAAACCAAAGGATGTGTATGAAAGAGTACAGAGAGAACAAATGGCAGTCTCTCCCTCCCCACCTCTCCCTCCC